AAATCTGAAGGAAAAAAGAGAGACAATGATATGTCTAAAGTTATGTTTAAGATGAAAGGAGGGAATAGAAATTTATCAGCCAATAGACTCTTTGCTAGACATAGAATTACAAGGTCCATATCATCAGTTGAATTTTAAATAATAGATAACTGAGGCACAGACAAGCTAGAAATATGCACAGGATATTCAGCCAAGAATCCTACTGCCAAGGTTCAAACCCAAATCTGTTTGGCTTTACATTTCTCTATTATTCCATGCAGGCTTTGAGAATAATCTGATAAGTATTCTTTGGAATAAGGAAGGAAAGAGGCAGTGAAATCACAAAAGAAGCCCATTCAACATGTAACATATGCTGAAAGAGATGAGAGATAAAATAAAAATGTTCCATTTTTCATGTAGCACTGTTGAAGTACCATTGGGATTTTTCTAAACACCGTCAAATGCGTTTATTAACTTATTTTCATATTGGAGTAATATAAAGGGAATTTCATCTTCTTGAAACTTATGTAAAGTTTATAATATTGTAAAAGTAAATAATACTTGAATGTTCATTCTTAAAATATAACTAGTTTGACTCTCATGCTATTGCTTATTACTTGACTCAATCAAAATGAGAGACTTCTCATTTTGGGCACTTTAGGGTACAGGTGCTGGGAAGACAAGCCAGAAGAGAAAAACTGCTCCATCAGCTCCCACACACATTTCCTCTGTCCTCACAAAGCAATGGTGTTTGCTTAATAGAATGACTTCCACTTTCATCACTTCTTAAGTGATTCTGATGGTTATGGAAAAGACAAGCCAAATAAGCACATTCCTTCTTTGTTGTTATTAATATTAAATTACTTCCTGGGAAGATGAATGTGGCAGTCTGAAGGTAGCAATTGGTATCCACTGTTCTCAAGTGTCTCTGGAATTATCTCTGAGTCTTAGAATTGCACCCATGTCATGACCCCTCTTTGCTTTCTAGAAGACTCAATCTTTCATGCAAAGCATCAATCCTGGTCTTTTATCCCAAGGATTAAACAGCTGCTTGAACCTGGCTGCCTAGCACTTCATTTGCCAATCTTTCTAGTCACAAGACCTTTATCTCATTATGGATAAGTATTAATTGTGAATTGATCTCCCAGCTCACAGCTGTCTGTCTGGCTGCCTGCCTGCCTACATTTCTCAGCATTGCTGAGCCCAGAATCTGTCAGTTTGCTCCTTCTCTTGGAGCTCTGATTTTAGCTTCACTATGACTGACAGTGTCTTACAGTCTTGTCATCCAGGAGTCAATTCCTTAGTGAGTGTCTTGCCCTAAAGGGCAGGTCAGATCCTGTCCTGAACTCTTTCTCCTCTATCTCCCCAATATTGTTTTGTACAAAACATAAGCCAGAGTTGAAGTAAACAAAAAGATATTTATATTTATGATGATAGATCATAGGAAGAAATCCAGAAAAACAGCTAAATAACAAGCTAAGATATATGTTGTGTTATCCCTTGAAGGTAGAGAAAATAGCAAAAATTTCACAGTCTAGTGAAATTGAGAACCCAAACAGATTGATAGACAGTTCACATAGAGAATTCTGTTGCAAGGTTACAGTTTTCTGGACCCTGTGGTATAACATACCAAAATCCCAATCTTCAGAAGACTTGTTGAACAAGTCAAGTCTTCAGTCTTGGAGAAACAGGGCCTAAGAAAGTTTATTGAGGCAAGGACAGGAGAACAAAATAATGATCCAATTGGATTGTGAGGTAAGGATCAGATAGAGAATAACTTCCAGTCAAGATGTTGGAATGCAATTTGAGATTTAGAGAAGGAACAAGTTGAATCCATGGTGAGTCATTTGAATATGAATTAGTTTCTTGAATTGCCTCAAACCAAGATCATAGTTAAGTCCCAGTTAAGTATTAAGACCTTTGGCTCTTAATTTACTCATCATCTCCCTACTAGTAATAATATAATCTATGACCAGTAAACCAGTAAAATAAGATGTGAATAATTTTAAAATGTTTTATTCTTTGAGGCATTTATAAATTGTTTGTGAATGTTATTTGTTCATATATATATATATATATATATAATAAAATTTTCTTCTGCTTTTTTTTTATCATGGGGCTAAAATATGGTTAAAATTAATTTAGTCTACTGAGATATGAAATTCCAGAACCTATGTGTCCATGTAAGTATGTCTCTGTGAGCACGCACAGAAAGGTCTGCATCTACTTTTATAAGCAAGAAGTAAAAGGGGTTCTATTAATTTAGATTACTACCTTATCATATGAGAAGGATTTAGGGATAAAGGGTCAGCTTCACCTATGTTTTTAATGTACAGTCTCCTTTCTCCTGGAATGTAAATTTCTGACATCACCCAAGTCAAAGCAGTTGCCATTTGTTGTAATTTAGAACTTTTTTTCCCCACTAAGTCTTGAACTCAGGGACTCACACTTGTTAAGCAGACAGTTGCTCCAACACTTGAGCCATGTGCCTAGCAGGAACAATTTTGACTAATTTAATTCCACTTTTTTTTTTTAATGATGGTACTGGGATCAAAACCAGAGCCTTGCTCAAGCTAGGTAAGCTTGCTATCACTGAGCTACACCTCCAGCTCATTCCTAATCTATATTACAATTTTAGTATTTCAAGGTTGTAAGAAAACTAATAAAAATGAATATATACATTTCCTCTCCTACAGCAACCTACAATGTAGCAAGGGACATAGAAATAAATAAATTAATTCTGATTATAGACAAAAAGTGCTAGTAAAGTATTTAACCAAAAACTGCATTGGAAGCTATACAATTTTCAAGCAAATACACATGTACACTAGAGAAATTTAAGAACAAAAGACTTGAGTAGACCTTTCTCCAAAGAATATATAAGGAAGTACATGAAAAGATGCTCAACATCATCAGTCTTTAGCAAATGACCAATCAGATGCAAAATCTAATCACTGACTACCACAGATAAAGGAGAAATTGTAACCTTTACTGAATATTGATGAGAGTGGAAAATGGAACAGCCATTGTGAAATTGCATTCAGCAGTTCTTCACAATGTTAAACATGGAGTGGGAATGAGCAATTCTATTTCAACACATATGGCCAAGAGAATTGAAACATGTAGTTACAGAAAAGCTTTTATACTTGAACATTCATAGCTTCATTATTCATATTAGCTCCAACCTAGAAATTATCCAAATGTATATTTGATGAGAAAAAGTAATAAAATAATACCATGGAATATTAATAGTTTGTAAAAAGGAATGAAACATTGGTACATGCTACAACATGGATGGAACATGAAAACAATTGAAAGTAGTCAGACATAAAAGCAATATGCTATGTGATTGTATTTACAGGAAATGTCCAGCACAGGCAAATTTGTAGACACAGAAAATAGACTAGTGGTAACTAGGGACTGGGAGAGGTGGTGATAAAATTGGGAGTGACTGTTTAATGAGTATGTTGTTTCTTTTCAGGGTAATGAAAATATTCTGGAATCAGACATTGGTGATGGATGCATAACATTGAGACTATATTGAAAGCTACTGAATTATATACTTTAAAAGGTTAAGGCAGTGAGTTTTATGTTACTTCTTTCTATACAAGAATGAATACAGAAATTTTAAATCAGAAGGGGACTAAGGTAGAAAAATGAAAAATAGAAGAAAGAAGAAATTTGAGTTTTAATACATGTGTATATGGAAAGTCACAAGAACACTCCCTGTGTAGCTATCTTAGCTGAACATAATTGTCCTTTTTTTTTTTTTTTAACAAAATCAGAGAAGAGGAGGGTAGAACAGGTACTGGGGGGATTGGTACTGATGGGAGAGGCGAGAACATGAGTAAAGGGTGTAGGAGGGTGAGTACATTACAAACAATGTGTATATGTGCGTGTAAATGGAAAAATGAGACCTGTTGAAACTATGCCAGGAATGGGGGTAGGGAGGAATAAAGGAGAATGATGAGGGGGTGAATTAAAGTATGATAAATTTGATGTATTGTAAGGACTTATGTAAATTCCTCAATGTATCCCCAGCCCAAACAATGTATGCACATGTGAATAAATGATTTAAAAAAATTTTAAAAATCAAAGATAAAAAAGTTCTGTCTCATACCCAGATATACAAACCCAAAGAATTTACAATATAAAGCAAAGGAATTATGCATTCTAAATGAAAATATAATTCACAATAGAAAGACATGAGCAATATGGGCACCTAAGAGTGAGTTGTCCAATAGTATGTGTCAAAAGTTTATTAGAAAATTAGTTTTTTTTGGAACTGGGAACTATTCCATGGTAGCTCAAATATACTGAGTCTTGAAAAAATTCCAGAAAAATTGTGCTCAGATGCTTGGAAACAATTACATTTGTTATTTTCCATAAAGAAAAACTGAAAAATCTACATACAACATTTTACTTTGATGATTGCTTTTTCTCACTATTATTTAAACAATGAAATATTTAGATGACTTACCTTTGTCAATTACTGTTTCTGTCTTACTTAAATGCATTGTAGGTCTGAGACTGCTTGATCATAAGTTGAATTTCTATGAGAGCATCATTTTAATTGACTACATGCATATTCTTATATCAATTTATAATTTTAATCCTAGTTATATTTATATTAATGACATTTCAATATTAATATGATATTTTTTGTCACCACTCAGGTCCCAGAATTTATGTTATTATTTAATGAAGTGATACATGAAAAATAAAAATTATAAAGAAAGCAATATTTACATATTTTTTCATTAATTCATATGTTAGATAAGCAGTGTTCCATTCATGAGAAGTACACTTGGGAAGGTATAAGTTTTTTTCTGTTCCTTTTCTTTCTATGTCATTATCTGATTAAATTATCTGTCATTTCTTGGTTAAATAATTTTTCAAAATGTTAAAGGACATTTTACATGTCTATTGTTAAATTATTGTACATGTTTCTGGATTGGGCTACATAAATACATTTGGCACATATAAACAATTTGTGTGCTTTCTGTTTCCCATAGATTCTACAAAGAAATTGAAGGATGTTCTTGAAGAATTCCATGGTAATGGTGTGCTTGCAAAGTATAATCCTGAAGGGGTAAAACTTCTTTTTTCTTTATATCAATTAAATATATATGCTCGGGGATATTTCTTCATGAAGAGTTCTTGAAAATATGTATATATGTGTGTATATATATACACACATAATATATTTCTGTACATATATATGCATGTGTATATATACACATACATGTATGTATCTCACATACCATAAACCATTTATCATATACCATGCATAAAGAAAAAAAAGTTCATAACAAAATACTATTCTAGAAGATATGTTAAATGTAGCGTGTGTTTGAAAAAATATAGATCATTAAAATATAGTGCTAGATTTCTTTTCCTAGAAGTCAGGAAACATTATATCTAGGAGAGTAGAATATGCCTGATTCTTATTCTGTGACGTATAGATTTTAACCATAAATGGACTTTGAGGTGAACCATAGGGCTGTTCCTTTCAGGGAATTATTTTCTCAAACAAAGAAAAATTTTGTAATAAATACAACTGGTATTGTTATCTTAAGGAACTAACCAAAGAAGAGTAATTTCTCCCCTTATTTTGAGTTTATCCTTTTACCAATCAGTTTTTGAGTTCCTGACATTCTTTCTTTATAAAAACTTTGCTTAGCCTGTTAATTACTTTTGAACATGATACTTATATAAGCATTCCTTTTCTTTTCTAATTATTTAATACCAGTTGGGAGATGTTACATGTTGAGTGCTTGATCATCATTACTGTTAGTTTATTCATAGCTTTACCACTAATATTGATTATATAGAAATAAACACAAACTTTTTGTAGAAAGTAATTTTATCTAAATAGATAGATTTACTATGAGATAATCATAATAGGTTTATGAGAAAATATATCTTATTTAGATAGATTAAAGAATAAAACATGATTTCCTAATTGTTTTGTTTGGTTTTGCATATTTACAAGAGTGTAGTTCTTAGATAACTTCCAATATTATTCTTCTCCGGATGTATGTAGAACTTTTAGTTATTCTTGTCCAGTCTCTAAAGTCAACCTCAAAACATTCATATTGTTTTTTAATTTCCTGTCAGTAGTTCTCATAGCTGTTTTTATGTTATATTTTCTTTCTATCTATCTATCTATCTATCTATCTATCTGTCTGTCTATCTATCTATCTAATCTATGTATCTATTCACTATATATCTAGTTAGCTATTTTGGTTTTTTGAGGCAAGGTATTACTATATAGCCTAGGTTGGCCTGGAACTTCCAATTCTGCCTGTGCCTCCCAAGCGCTGGGATTACAGATGTGCACCACTATGCCCAGCTGCATGTAATTTTTTTTAATTTTATTTTTTACTAGACTTACTAAAGCTAACCTACAACTTGTTTTCTTTTTAAACAATTGATAGGTTTAGTGACTATTCCCATTTTCCTATATTAGGAAATAAACCATGTAAGTGGTCTGTATTCTCTTTTTATTTTCCTGAATGCAGAAGAATAAGAGAAATAATGTTGAAAGATGAACTTGTAGAAATGAAAATCTCAAAGTCCAAGCAAGCACAGTGAGAAGAGTGTGGATGACAACTGTACTGATTTGCTATAAATTAAAAAAAATGTCATTAGTATTGTCAAAATAATGCATGAAACCGTGCATTTTAATGTAATCCATACATGGAGATCAAAAATTTTTTCTCCCTAAAGATGCTGTTGGCTACATATTTATTTGGAACAAGGCCTTGTTTGCATTGCAGTCTTTTGGCCTCAGTGATTTCTTCTTCGTTTAGTCTTACTAATAGTATCCATTCATGAGGTTCATCAGTCATTGCACACTGGATTTATTGTAGTAATTACTGGATTCATTATTAGACACTCATGATGTCAGCCTTTTCAATAATGTAATACCTCTCCAACAATGCACAGATCTCTTGAATGCACTATTAAGATAATGGACAGTTGAAAAGCAGAAAACTAGATTTTAACCCAAGAGAAATTCTAATTTAAGAGGGAAACCACTCTCTGATCTTAATATTGACAGGAATTTTTCCATCAGGAAAACATTTTAAACCTTATATCACTGTTTTTTTAAACATCTATGTGTTATATAAAAGCCAACAGAAAGTATTTGGGAATACTCAATATTTCTCTGGGGTATAGCTCAAGTAGTAGTGTACTTGTCTAGCAAATATGATACAATGAGTTCAGAGCTAAGTAATGCCAAAACAAAACAAAGAAAAGGAATACTACTTTTTAATCTCTTTGTTTCTCTCTCTTTCTCCCTGTCTCTGTATTGACTAATCAAGGTTAGTCCTAAATTGGTTGGTATTGGTGACTAATTATTGATGAACAGTTGTAAAAGAAAAATTAGAAAGTGATTAATCTACCATGATTACAGAATGGATAACTAATATCTTGTTTTCAAAATAAAAATAATTTATATCATCCACATAAAATTTATTTGCAAATGGAGAATAAAGTAAATACACCTTAATTTTCATTTCCCTTTACAAGGTAAAGCTACTTAAATGATAGATGTTTATTTCATTTATAATTCACTTGAGTTACTGAATTTAAAAGTTGTATGTGAAAAGTTAACTCAAAGAAGATGTGAACTGCTTAGGTCTATTTTAATAATGAAAAAATATTAAGTACAAAATATGGAAGAATCATGTATTTTAAATTTGTACCTTTTAAGACACTATCATAACTGTTAGTTGCAGAAATGAATAGAAATTTAAACAATGGTTTTAAAGTTTCTCTAAGAATAAAAATCTTAAAAAGGCCTGAGATTTCCAAATGAATAAAATTACCATGTCTGAAAATAAACACATTTGTTTCCCAGATTAACCCTTGGGTTCATAAGGATGATCACAATCAAAACTTAGATGGCTAGAGTCCCAACGTAAGGCTGATGTCCTTTACTCTTCATTTCCTTGTCTAGGCCATAGAATGAGCAGGAAATTCCTGGTAAGTGGGAAGAATAGGGGGAAGGGAAAGTGTAAATGACAGTGCTTGCCATAGAGAGGTAGACAATTCTATCCTACATAATTATTACTGTGTTAAGCCTCAGGAACTAAAAGGTTCCTATTAGTCTTCCCCTAATCTTGTATGAATAATATGGTGTTAAGAGTATGAATACACTTAGTTTGTAGCAAAGATCCAGTGAGATCATAGTGAGGCTTTTCAGTAACACATAGTCAGGACAAGTAAAGATCTCATAAGAAGTGGGATTTGGTATATGAGAAGGAGTTTGGAATTGCATGCAAATTTTTTTTCTTGAATTTTCAATTCAATTCCAAATTGTTCCATTGATATCTAAAAGTAGGAAGAAAGTGGCAAATGTACAAATGTATGTGTGTGCATATATATGTATCTATCCATATACTATATATCTATAATATACAGTATATTCTTTAAAGGCATGGAAACAAACTTGGTGTATTGTTCAAATAGAAGGCATCATTAAGAATGAGGAATAAATATTCATAGTCTAATATACATTTATATACACTGTTATATTTTTGCTGACCTCGCTAGAAGGTTTAATCATATTATATGTGTTGTTTGTTATATTTATCGCATGTCAGTAGGAACAGCTCGGCTCATTATACTCACACATTAATGTAGTCGATGGTTCTCAAATTTTAGCCTGCATAAGAATTACTTGGGGGTCTTATAAAAACATGGGTTGCTCCCTACTTCTTCCTTGTCTGGATCCTGATTTAGTGTTTCTGGGGAAGAAACACTAAGATTTTGCATTTCTATCAGTTTCCAAGTTTAGGCTGATGATACAATTTAGGAAATACATTTTGAGACTTACAGAACTAGATTATGTTTTAAAATTAATCTGTAAATTTGAACCTTTACTAAAATTATCAGAGGTATGAGATAATGAGTATAAATTATTTTCCATTAATACATGTATTCTTTCTTTCCTTGCATGCACAGAAACAAGACATTCTTAACCAAGTAAGACAATTTCTTTTCTACTAAAATCTATCTTTTCCTCCTTTATTCTGATATAAGTTATGAATTTATCATCCATTTCATTAAGCTATATTTCTGTAATAATAAGGTTCTCATAGTATGTTAGAGTACCTATACTTCATAAAGTTATAATTGAGGTCAGGTATGACAGAAATTTTTCTAAATTGATGTTTCAAATGAAGGAACTGGTACCTTAATAGAATCAAAAACGGTTCACAGTTTAGGCTTTAGATTTCTAGACTTGAGAATTTAATTTTCTACTTTCACTCAGACGTATCAGACTCCAGTAAATTTATTAATGAAAATCTTAATTTATTAATTTACAATGGGAGATTTAAAAAATTGCCTTCAAAATACAACAGTACAGCCTTTTTTATTTTGTTTTGTCTACAATTCTACGTTAGATTCTCAGAGAGAGTAGTATGTGAATGGCTGTTGATTTTGCCCTACTAGGAATAAAGTAACCAATCTGTCACTTCAATCACCTTCTACCAGTGCCTTCCCTGTTGTACTAAGTTTTAAGTAAGTTCAGTTGAGGGCATCTAATTACCAGATATTATTGAGTGCCCTAAATAGATATTTCTATCACAGTAGAATAGTTGTGTTAATTGTCATCACCAGTTTATAATATTTCTTAGTAGAATGCATGAGTTGTCTAAAACCACAATGCGGTTTCTCTTGGGAAATACTGGGTGTGTTCAAGCTACTTGTTGTTCTCAATATCCTGATGGTTTCAATTACAAGCTCTGTGATTTAATGCCCGATATGTATAGTATCAGAATGATGTCAGATTGAGACACAGGTCCTTAGATGGTATAGTCCCCCAGAACAAGGCACTACTGAATGCCATCTCAGTGACTATGATAATACTCAGTTGCCTTTCTTTCAGAGGATGGCCCTCCCCTGTCTTGTCCCTTACCTTTGTGGAAATTTATTCTTTCTCCAAATACAGACTATGTAGACTTTATACTTAAGAGTAACTCCTCATGGTAAATAGTTGTTTTATGTATCTACATATCCAGGCCCTTGCCTTCAAGCAGAAGCTTTTGAGCACCCTTGGTCAACAGCATTTTCCAAGCACCCCTTGTCCACAAACACACACTTTCAGTACTACCTGCATCCCTACTCAGACTGAAAGAAACAGGGTTGAAATTAGTGCTAGTTTCTCTTTGGGTCAGCAGGATTTATCTACTTGCCTTGTCTTTGTTCTGTGTGATATTCTTCATCAGACAAACATATTTGCAGAATGGAAAGCATAGGCAAAGCTGAGGCTTGCCGAGGGTAGGGAGAATTGCAATTTTGCATAGATCGTTGTTCTATGCATTTTTTGTCTAACACTCTTCACTGAGTGTCAGGTTTTCTCTGCACATGTCTCCTCTCAGTGCTGATCTTTGACCTCAGGCTCAGATATGATATCTTAGCTCCTGGGCCCCCTCTTGTCTTTGCAATTGATACTCTGTACTGGAGTTTCTGCCAACAAATACAACTTTTATATTCAAATAGGAGTGTTTGACTCCTTAATAAAGAACCTGAGAATTCAGAATTTATAATTTATAGTGCTCATGAACCAAATTCAACCTTTTCCACTGAGGAAAGCATGAGCAAAGTATAATACACAATAGTATGTGGTGTTAGGAATCTGCCTAAAGTGAAATCAAATCCCACGTGTACTTCCATAGCAGACTATGGATGCATTTCCTAACCTCAGTTTGTTCACCTACAAAATGCAGAGTATATCAGCTATATTGGATTGTTAAAAGGTATAAATTCTAATGTGCATGCAAAATGATTAGTCCTGTTGTCTACCTCATATGAGGTATTTCATTGGTGTCCAGTAACAGTGACTATGGTCACACTTTAGCAAACAACATGATTTTATAACAAGTTGTGGATCATGTACCAAAGATGAAATTGAGGATATCTGAGATATAACACCAAATAGTCCCATACCTTTAACTTGCTCAGAGTCTCACTTTCCAATTTTAAAGCAGGAAATACATCTCTGTTGTCTTTTGAGTTCTGAAATAATTTCCTTCTACCATGTGGTAGGAGTGGGGGAATGACACATTTGCTTCTCTTGCCCAATTAAGCCAAAATTCCTAGTGCTATCCTAGTAGTAGAGTTACCGTACTGCTGTATTTGCTCCATTCACCACAACTGTCAGTGCCAAGAAACCTCATTAGCAAGAAACAGAAGTAACATGTTAGCCAGCATTTCCTTTTCTTTTCCTATGAGCATCCATGCACCAAAACTATAGCCATGGACGAGTTTTGAGAGCACATTACCAGACCAAATAAAGTGCTTACTACAATTTTGTGCTATTAATCTGATATTGACCATATATAAATTATTCTTAGAATATAGAGTACCTTTCCCTTAGGTATGTGGCCTCATTTTTTATTTCTTAACCTTCAGAAAATGGCTCTAGCATAGAATGAAACAAGGTGCAAAAATCTGAGAAAGTGTTTATGTACTTATGAGATTAATTAACAATATCATAACTCCATAAGATGAATGAATACGCAAAGATTTTCCTAGGTTTCTAACAATTGTAACAGATCACACCTCAAGATTCATGAAAATAGATATATCAATCTATGAAAACAGTCAGAATTTGAAAAAAGTACCATCTGGAACACCTTTTCTACATTGGTGATTGATTCATGATTTGACAGCTTTAAGTGACTAAGTAGTAGTTGTCAAAATTCTGCCATTTCCACTATAATCTACTGTCATAATCAAATAGAAACAATATAGGTAAATATTTTTAGTACATAAAATATAATTAGTACATAAAATATAATTATGCAAATTTATCTAGTTATTTACTTTACAAATGAGATTTTGAAAAGAAACTTAAATGAGCTTGGCAAATAGCTTAGAAACTATCTTTAGTTATAAGAGCCAACATTAAGTGCATTTGAAACATTGTATGTAAGTTCTTTTACTTTCATTTCTTTAACAACATTAATTAAATAGGAGTTAAAAACCTAGTTATAGAAAACAAACTGATGTTGTTTCCTTCAAGTGATCTTTCTGCTCTTTGCCAACAACAAATAAAATTAAGGCTACTTTGTCACACTTAGTCTTTACCTTTAGGGTTTTGTCCCTTGTTTTTATTTGTTTGTTTTCATCACCAAGAATAGCTTTTCATGAGCAGAAGAATAAACAGGAAAATTAATCTAGCTATTTTGGTGGAAAGGTTTGAATATTCATTAACGTTAAGGGTTTTTTAATAAGTAAAGGAAATCATAATATTTTTATAATAAAAAAGTTAAATCTTTCTCTTAGAAAATATCTCCAATGGCAATGTGCACATCCAACTCGAGTATAACACTAAATGGCAATTATTGAAGTAATGCAGTCAAGTGAAGATGGTGGGAATTGTAATGATGACAGATTGCATTTCAGATATGCAATGCAAAGTAGTAAGTTACACTGTGAATGTCAAAGGGTGCAAAATTTTACAAATTTTATTCAAAACTGGGCAACTGAATAGAGACATATCATTACGTTTTATTTTTTACATTTTATTATGTATATCCCTTTCTCTGAAATTGTAGGCATATTGATATACTACTCAATGAATCTAACTTAGACCAGGGGCAAAGAATCTTCTACCCTGTGTGAATATTGGAAAACAAGTCTTTAAAATTATGTATTGATTACCTATAATATAACAATCACTGAAGTTGGAAATATTTAGGCTTTCGGTGCTAATTAGGAGCTTTTTATATTGGCTGAGAACATTTCTGAGCCTTGTTTTGTCTGTAAATAGGAGTAACAGCAGTAGCTACTCATTGGGTTTTTGTAAGGATTAAATCATAGCATACACATACCATTCTTAGATTAGTTCCTAAAACATGGCAACATTTATATCATGCTTTTCTTGTATGCAACTAGCATTTTAAATAAATTGTTAATATCATCTTCCTATTTAGGGATAATGGAGAAAATCATTTTCTATTAAAAATAAAAGGAAAGAATAGAGGCTTGAAGAAAGAAATTGGAAGAAAAACACTACCAGTGAAACATAATCTTATGGAAAGAAAGAAAAGACCTGTTGAATTGAACACATCTTATTGTTGCAGGATAAACTTACACTAGATATTGAATCTGCTCTGTGGGAGAAGCAGAAATAGTCAAGATGATCTTTGCTAATAAAGAGTGTCAAACTATTCAATCTATTTTATAAACTGCTGACAAAATGCTTCAACTTAGAGTTTCAACTTTAGACCTTCAACTCAAGCTCTGAAAACAGTAAATTCCCTGGTCCAGTGGTAAAATCTTAGTGCCTCACGCTGAGATGTTAACAATATTTCCTGGTTTTATTCTTCTTCTCAACTTGATGTTTTTCACTGTGCTAACTCTCATAGATTTGGGCATTGGTGACTTTAAAGTAACAGAATTTATGGAATAGTAAGGATTTGAAACCCTTGATCACTTTGCCCTTGTTCATTTTGTTAGCTTTGTATTAATCTGCTAAAATATTAAATATATTGCTACAGTTTGTTATACTTCAAAATAATAACATTTGAAATTTAAGAAGTGAAGGGCTATATTCCTGCTGAGAAACTATTTGTATTTATTCTACTTTACAAATTTTTATCATCTCATCTGGACCAATTTTCTTTCTTGTTACATTGACTACAAAGAGGTCACTAAGTAAAATTTTACTCTTTTAGACATCCCAGCATTCATACTTCATAAATATAATGATGACCTATGAAGTAAATGACATGATGTTAAGTACAGTGTGTTGTAAAGTCATGTTGGACCTTATAGTCTAGCAGGGAGGAAAAGCTGCATGTGCAAATATGCCTGCACACAGGCCACCATGAATGCCCCTTCTGGAAATGTTCTTTAAATGTGATCACACAAGTAAGCAATAATAAAAAAGTGATATTTTTCATTGAAATTGAGTATACTTATATGTATGTGTTTGTGGTATCTTTATTGGAGTTCAATTTCAAGAAGAAAAT